GGTAGAGACGAGCCGTGTGAGTTCTTGATACTCATGTTCGGGCTTCAGCCTTTATCGAGCTGAGTTGAGCCCCAAACTCGACTCATTTATTAATGAGCCGATAAATAAAAAATTCTATTAAAAATAATATTTTTGATCAATCTTGTATCCAAGTTAGTTGAATTCTATTCAACTTTCGATTTTATAGTATTAATTTGGTATACATACATATCATGATATATATATATATATATATATATCATTAAATTATTAAGATTCCATAATAAAATAATGTGAGGGAAAAGAAAACTCCCAGAATCTATCCATAATGTTCAATAATTTGCCAGATTTTGGCAAAAACGTAAACACTAAAAATAGTCAGGAAATAACCTTCCAAATTAATTCAAAAAAACGTGGTGAAATCCAAGAAAAAAGAAAAAAAGCTCTAAATCATCTGCCTGAAATCTGGCCCTACGTGTTGATGAATCAAGTAATCCTCACCGTTGGATACATCAAACATCACATTCTGCTGCTGCTGGTGGGCCCGCACCATCTCCTTCTGCCGCCTCAGCTCGAGCACCTTCCTGTGCGAGTTCGAGTGCTTCGTGAGGACGAAAGTTGGGCTTGCCGCGGGCCTGTACTCGGGCACCAGCCGGCCCGATTTGTACCGTACCCCACACGCGTTGCACAGCGTCTTCGGGCCCATGGGCCCGGTCCTCCACTGTGGGGTCTTGTCCGTCGAGCAGTGAAGGCACCGCCTCCCCTCCTCCCTGCCGCCGGCGGGCCCGGGCCCAGTCCCCTTCTGTGGGCCGAGCTGGTCCGTGGACCCCGTGGCCTCGGACTCGGCCCAGAGGAGGTGGGAGGCCCAATTCCCAGAGGCAGCGCGGGAGCGCTTGCTGCGGGCCTTGGCGGGGATGGGGATTTCAGGTCGGGCGGGTTCGGGCTGGAATTTGTGTTTGTGGTTGGCCCGGGTTTGGTTTTCAGGTCGAGCCTTGGTTCCTTGGATGAGGTGAAGCTTGTGGAGGTCCTCCTCGCTTGAGAAGGAGTCCTCGACGAAGTTGGAGAGCCATTCTAGCTCGGCCACGTCATCGTACTGTGTGAAAGGTGGAAAAAAAAAATAAAGTTAATTAGAAATTGCTTTTAATAAAAAATGATAAATTTACTCAAGTGTATTATTTGGTGTATGAGATTACTTTCTTACTCAACCATTGGTTTTATAGTAGAGTCAAGTTTTTATATACAACAAATAAATTTACCATGTTTTTTGATTACTTAAATAACACTAATATAATTTTATAAACATGGTAAGTTTATTTATTGTATATAAAAGATTGACTCTAGAATCGAGCCAACTCTTGGCTCAATAGTAAAACCGTAAAATTAATACATATGCTTTTAAGAATAAAAAGTGAATGAAATAATATTTCAGCCTTTTTTTTTTTTGTTTTTTATCACTCTTTATATCCCTCTTTAACGAAATTTTTTGGGTTTCCCAAGAAAGTAGCAATGAAGGTCACAAAAAGAGTGCATATAATATTGGAAATTAATTCAATTTCTCATTATTGTAACTAATTCCTTAATTAGGTCCCAGGCTATAGGCAATCAATCACTTAACAAAGTTGGTATGTCTTCTATCATGATGTTTAATTAACCAGCAATCATTCTATTTTAATAAATATACATAATTTTTTATAAATAATGACATTAGAGCTACTGTTAACCATGCAATTATGTGCTTTAAAAAATAATATAAATAAAAATATAATATCTACATCATAATCCTCTCTATATATATCCTCTCTATATATAATTCCAGAATGCGCTGAGCCTACGTGGCTGCTTCTGGTGCTTCGTAATCCTATTTGGCGAAGAATCATGCTTCGTAATTAGGTTTGGATAAATAATATTTATATATTAATAATTAATAATAATAATCTAGGTTCGGGTATTCCATAAATATTATTTAGCTAATTTAGGTATTTTAATATCACTTTTACTAATATAACCCTTTAATTCTTTGTAAATTTTACATAGTGAGACACTAAGTGACTAATATATCCCTGAATTTTGATTTGTTCCCTTCAATAAACTATTGAATTATAAATGTATTTTAAAAGTTCATAACTTTTGTATTTCTTATCGGTTTTACATATATAATATATCAAATTAATTATCTTTTGATGATCTTCGATTTGACATCCATATTGTATATATATGAAATAAATAAATTATATTTATCTTTATAATAATAAGTAATAATAATATTTATTGAAATTCATTAGAAAAATAAAATTATTTTTCAATTGATATATTTATATGTAATGTAGTTATATATTGTAAGTTAAAAAAAAGTTAGTATAAGTTGCACAAATAAAAAGTGTCATAATAAATATATAATAATATATATATTCTTATAAAAGATATTTAAATTTTCAAACTACTTTTTCTCATTAATTTTAGATTTGAAAAAAAAAATTAGCAAGCACCCGTATAATACACGGGTATTACACTGGTGTTGTACTAGTTATACATTTAAAATAAACATGACGATTGGTTTATATAACAATACCATATGTGGGATAATATTATCAAAAAATAGGAGTTACAATACACGGCGTTAATCAGGCTTCAGGCTGGGGTAAAATGGAATTAACTAAGGCAAGCCCAAACAAAATTAATAATAATTCAGTTACGTACCGGCAAAGAAAGTTCACCGGAAAAGTGACCGCCGGCGGAGTGGAAGCCACCCAGCGGCGGATCCTCGGCCGTGTTGACAGATGATAACGAAGTGTTCTCCACCGCCACCGCCGCCTCGAGGCCACCGCCGTCGTCGCTGGGGAAGTCCAATAGGTCCTCAATTACGAAAGGATCGCCGGTCTTGGCATCGGAGAGCTTCCTCTCCGGCGTTAATTGACCGCCGTAGCTGTAGCCCGTGTGGAAAATCCCGCCGGCGCTGTCCATCGGGAGTTTCTCAAATGTGTGAAATGATTAGGTTAATTTAAGAAAGGTGCGAAGAAATAAATTTTGTGTGTGTGTGTGTGTGTGTGTGTGTTTTTAGTGAGTGGTGCTTAGGGGGGGAGAGAGAGTGAGGGAGAGAAAAGAGGAGGATGAGTTTATTAGCGTTAGAATGGGGACAAGGGGACAGCTAAAATTTTGGATTTTGACAAAGGAATATATATTTTAATATATATATGGCAAAATTGTTTTGCAGCTTGAATATATATTAAGTTTTTCGCTTCAAATAGTTCACATAATTGTCACATATCATTAGTATAAATATTGCATATCAGTCGTGTAATTGTCGTATATTTATATTAAAAATACGAAGGATTATGCGAATGCCTTCGCATTTTTTAACTTTCTTACAATTAATGTCAATCGGACAATTAGCGTATAATTACCGTATAATATTTTCGCACTTTTTTGAGATAGAAAAGTTAATTTTTTATAAGTGGGAAAAAACTTATTTATTTTTCAAAACAGGGTGAAAATATTTGTTCACTTTGTATGTATATGGCTTTTAATATGAAATATCATATTGGGAGCATTTTAACTTGCACTCACCTTGTTTAACAATTGGATTAGCACAAGTTCATATAGATATAAGTGTGTGTTGATTCAAATGTGAAAAATTCGTTGCCAACATCGAGTTCTATATAGGGTCGAATTTATCCAAAAGCTGAAAAACAATTTTTGTGTGAATCGAAGGCCGCCTGAGTCAATTTTTAGAACAGTTGTTTATTTAAGGCTCGTACTCTATTGTTGAGGGTAGTTAATTCTGATGGAAATAATTTGGCCAAATTTCATTTTTTGTCCACTATATTGACCATTTTATGAAAAATGTCTATCATATAGAATGTCATCAATAATGGTCCACTAATTTGCACTTTAATCAAAATTCATACAATATCTAACATAACGTACTAAGGGTGTCTCCAATGGTTAGCTATTTGGCTAGCTATTATGACGTGGACATGGGAAAAGTAAGAGAGAGAGTAGTCACTAGCTACTAACAAATAGTTTATCTATTTCACGTAGCCCAATATTATGTGAGAGGAGTATGTGAGTCCAATAGTGTAAAATAGTTATTTTTCTTATCTCTCACATCCATGTCAGCTGACTATATAGCTAGTAATAGCTATTACCATTGGAGATGCCCTAAATTGACGATCACTTTTAGTACATTATCTTGGTTTTTGTATAAATTTTGATGAAAATGGCAACTCAGTGGACCATTCTGTTGACGACCTATATGATAGATTTTTTTTTTTTTTTCAAAAAATAGTCAATATATTGGACCATTATTTAAATTTTGCCAAATAAGTGAATACGAGAGTTCTCTGAATTATCCCTTCCACATCAAATAGCTAAAAAGAGGTCGAAGATTGTAGGAAGTTACAAATTAAATGACCTTCGTTGATATTTTATTTGAATTGCAAATTTAATTTGGTGTCACCAATGGATCTAAAATAATTTTTTTTTGAAACATATAGTGTTTTTCACGCGATAGTAAAATTTTTCATTATATCAAGAAGGTCATAATTGCAGGCACGTACTGGTACGAGTCCCAACTTGGTCACGAGAGTACCAAGTCCAATATTATTGGATAAATTTTGCATTCTTAAGCTTACTTTAAATATTGGATTCATCTTTAGACAAAGTTATTGGCAAGCTTCCTAAGTCCTCTCCTCAAAATCTGAAGTCTTTCAAACCTTTAATGCAATCTTAAATAAATTCACCCTTTTTTTTTTTTTTTT